CAGCAGCAGTGAGAGGTCCCTCACCCCATGGGTGAAGGTCAGAAGCCACAAAAAGTACTGGGACGTGGGGAAGTTGGGGGCAGGGACTCCCGAGAAGCTTCTGGGTGACTCTGCTTTGCCACAAAGGAAGATGGCCCAGGGGTTAGCATCAGTGACAGTCGGGATGATAAGGACAAAAAAGGCTGGGCTTTGGCAGCTGGAGACCCATGTGTCCTTACTGCGTCATTTCAGCAGCTCAGGCAGAAGTGGGAGCCCCCAGGTAGCAGTGACAGCAAGCAGAGTCGGGGATCAGGGCCGGGAGGGTGGTCGTCACTCCGGGGCCCCAGGAGGTAGGAGAGAGCCAGAGGCGATGGCCAGGAAGGGCTCTCCCCACAGTCACCAGGACCTCAGCTGCCTCAGCTCCCACGCCTTGGTCCCTTCACAGCATGTGAAGTGACACATTTCTCCGGTCAGAATGATGGCTGATGTTGTGCCTCACCTGGGGCCCAGAGCAATGGAGTTCTCCAAACATGGATGAACCTCTGAAACCACAGCCCAAAATAAACGTTTTCTCCTCTAAGTTGCTCTTGCCGGTCACTTTGGTCACAGTAACACAAAGCTGACTCAAACAGCCTGGATGCAGGAGCAGAGGGGCTGGAAGGGTGCCACCTGGGGCCTGGATTCAGATCCTGCTGCTTGTGGGCCAGTGACCACACTGGGGCTGGGCTTTCTTCCCCTGAGCCAGGTGACGCCAGGCCCTGCCTGTGGGATGCTGCGCTTACTCAACCAAGTGATCTGATAAAACCACGGCCACACAGCACCCTCCTAAGGTCACATACATGCTGCTACTGCTGGTCCTCCAGCCCTTCCCTCCTGGGCGCAGGGTCAGGGCCAGCTGCCCTCCCCTGATGCCCACTTGGCAGGTGTAGGGACATGATTGTGACGCATGGCTCCTCGTCAGCCCATGCCCAGGTGTAAGTCATCAGATTAATGGGGAAACTAGCTACAGACAAGAGACAGGTTCCATGCACACAGGAGGAGAGGAATCTCGTCTTGTTCCTTGGGAAAGGATGGCAGAAATGCCATCTCCAGCTCCGTGCAGAACCAGGTACTGTCCTGGGGGATACACCATTACCTTTTAGGAATCTCTTCTCTACCAGAAAAAAAAAAAAAATCCCTGGTCCCTCACAGTTGTGGATGGTGATTTGCACAAGGCTACCACCTACCCAGGAGATCTGGGCGACTGTCAGGCAGGCTTCCGAGACTCCCCTAGTTCAGAACTAAAGCAATGACATGCTTTCTCCATTTTGCCTTTCTTCCAAGGTTTTAGGTGTCTTCTCCTTCCCTGGGCTTTTTCCTCTTGTCTTTCTATATAATGTGTTAACAAAACACACACACACACACTCACACAGTACTGTGTAAGATTTTTTCATGATTTTAATATGCCTATTTCAAGATAATTGGTATCTATACAATTTGTATATTAAATATTCTGTAGTCAGAATGGCAGCAATTATGAAGACAAACAATAATAAGTGTTGGTGAGGATGTGGGGAAAAGGCACACTCATACTTTGCTAGTGGGACTGCAAAATGGAGCAGCCAATATGGAAAGCAGGATGGAGATTTCTTGGAAAACTTAGAATGGAACCACCATTTGACCCAGCTGTCCCTCTCCTCGATCTGTACCCAAAGGACTTAAAAGTGTTCTCAATAGCCCATGTGCTAAAGGCTTGGTCCACAGGGTGGTGCTCTTGGAAGGGGTAGAAGCTTTGGGAGGTGAGCCCTGGTGCAAGATCCTTAGGTCACTGGGAGTGTGCCCCAAAGGGGAGAGGGGGACCCTGGCCTCGTCCTCATCTTCTGCTTCCTGGCCATGAAGTGAGACATTTTGGTCCACTACGTCCTCCCCAATATTGCCTTGGGCACCTCCACCAAAGGCCAAAACCTGAATCCACCTGATATTGTATTGATGATGCCTCTAAAACTGTGATCCAAAACAAGTCTTTTCTCTTATAAGTTAATTCTCAGGTATTTTGTCACAGTGATAGAAAGGTCACACACACACACACACACACACACATTAAGAAACCCTCCTCTGGATCAGGTGGGTGTGGTCAGCCAAGTGGTGAGCCTAGATCAATGCCCACACCCTGCTCTGTCCCCCCTTGAATATGTTGCCTTATATGGCAGAAGGGACTATACGATTAAAGGTTGACTATCCTAGATTACCTGATGTACTCTGCTTCGGTTTAAATGTGGCCTCCAAGGTTCATGTGTAAAAACCTCATCCCCTGGGCTGTGTGGCTCAGTGATAGAGCACCCACCTGGCGCGCGCAAGGTCCTGGGTTTGTTTGACCTCAGCACAGAAAAAAGAAAAGGAAAGGAAAGGAAAGGAAGGATGGAAGGAAAGGAACATAATGCCCAAATTCCTCTGCTCATTAGCATGTGGAGACGGGGCCTGTGGGGTGGTCAGGATCAGACGAGGTCTTGAGGCTTGGCCCCAAGATGGTCTTCAAGGCTGCACAGGGGGAAGAGAGACCCAAGCACTCTTGCTCTGCATTGCCATGTGACACCCTCTGCCTCCTTACACTACTGCAAGACATCCCCAGCCACCAGCCCTGCAGACGCTGGAGCCATGCTCTTAGATTCCTCAGCCTCGAGAACCACGAGCCAAATGAACTTCTACTCCTAATAAATTTCCCAGCCTTGGGTGTTCTGTTGTAGCAGTAGAAAACAGACCAAGACAGGGCCTGATCTCATCACATGAGCCCATAAAAAGAGAGGCTCTTTTCCTGGTGAAATTTGAGAAATAGGGCGTGTGTGTGTTAGAGTTAACGTTGCTCTAACAAATCCCTGAGATAATCAGCTTAAAAAGTAAAAAGGTTTATTTTGGTTACAGTTTTGGAGGTTTTAGTCCATGATTGGTTGGCCCCATTGCTTTGGGACCTGTGGTGAGACAGCACACAATGTGGGGGGGTGTAGGCAGAGCAAGGTTGTTCACCTCCTAGCCAGGGAAGCAAAAGAAGAAGAGACTGGGGCCCCACAGTCCCTTCCAGGGCACAACTCCAGAGCTAAAACCTCCCACAAAACCTCCCTCTGAAAGGCTTCCCCCACCTTCCAACACTGCCTGGGGGCCTCAGCAGAACATTCTAGATCCAAACTCTGTCAGGGCAGAAGAAGCAGGAGCAGTTCCAGCATGACAGGGACTCCGTCTGTCAGTGCTGCTGTCAAAGACGGAAGGTGCCAAGCGCTAGGGAGTGACACCACTCTAGACTGAGAATGCCACCCACTGGACAGACCGCCAGGGGACAGGTCATTAATTCTGCAAGGACCTGCGACTCAACTCTGCCACAACCAGAGGCACTTTACACACACAGGCAGGACCCCGCTCCAGACCAGAGGCTGTGTGTGCCACTGTGGTTGGTGGGACACCTGCCGTCACTTCTGACACTCAATTTTATGACTTCTATTACTTTCTATAATTCTATACTATCATTTATTTCCTTCTTTTAGGCTTTTATGTTTCGTTTTTGTATTTTCCACTTATTCTATTTTTGCTTGCTTAGAAAGAAAAATCTTTCTCTTTTACCAGTGAACCTAGAAATTTAAACATATTAATGTGGGAAAGTCCACTATATGATCTCTCACGGTTATTCTTCTCCGCCGTGATTTCTAGCCAACAAATTAAGTGTCATTTTTACATAACTAATATTGACTCTGACTCTCTCTTTGCTGAGAGCTGTTCCTTGAAGCCCACGTCTTCCTTCTGAACCTTCCCTATCTGTTCTTTTAGTGAGGTTCTGTGGATGGGCAGCACTCTTTATCTTGTGGCTAAAAGTCTTCATACTTGAAGACCAACTTTACTTCTCTAGAGTCCTGGTAGCGGGAGTGGGCTTCCAGTACTCTGAAGGTCATGTCCGCTAACACCTTTGGCTAGGAAGTCAGCTGTCAGAATAACTGTGACTTCTTTGCAGATGATCTGTTTTCTTTGCCACTGTCCCTGTAAATGCCATTTGTCCCTCCTGTTCTTTGTCATCTCCTTCTAGAGCTCTAGAGAAGTTGGGGTTTCTCACCTTGGGTGCCCTTTCCACATCCTCCAGGTCCTTGCTCTCTGGCCTGTGGGATTTCTTCACCCCATCTTTCAGTTCACAGTCCCCTCTCCTTGCATCTCATTTTTGTGAAACTCATGAGCTCGTTTCTAACTTTATTAGTTTTTCTAATGAAGGGGGGTGGGGCTAGTTTTCTCCTGTTGTGAGTTTCCTACTTTCTGACCTTCCAGCTTCCTAGAGTTTTATATTGTGTACTTTCTCCCAGGTGCAGCTTTCTAAGGTGCATTTCCCCACAGTGGCTCTATTTGGTTCCGTTGGTTCTGGAACGTGTACAAGTCACCCTCTGAGCGGAGCCTGGCTTGAGCCCAGGCAGCTGGTTCCAACCGGCTCGAGTTCTAGCCTGTGTCCACAACTCCAGACACCTTCTTCTCTGTCATCTCCTCGCTCTCGTTGCTGTCTCTGTGACAACAGTTGGAGTCCCCATTTCTCAGGTGCAAGAAGTAAGGGAAACAAGATGTAGAATGAAGTTTACAAGGAGAGATTGTGGAGTCCCACAGACTCTCCAACTTACTGGTATTGAGCCATTTATTTGATTTGTCTGACCCTCAAAGTGAAATGAAGACTAGTGTACTCGTTTCACACGTGACAGAGTGTCTGCTAAGAAGCACATGTGAGCATTGGTCACCATGCCTGGCGCTAGTCCCCAGGGAGGTGGCATTCCTCACAGTGATGAAGAGGACAGAGGGAGGGCTGTGCCCTGTAGTCCTCTTATCAGCTTGTGGCGCGTGCCAAGAACATGTGTCCCGCGTGTGTCCAGAGTTGGCCAGCCCTGGTCAGGCCAGGGGATGTCCCAGCTTCTGGGACCTTTAGGCACCCCTGTCGTTAAAGTTTTTTTGCACACTAGAATTTCAAGAAGCTGAGACCCCAATGCCGGTCAGAGACGGAGTTTGACTTCCTCTTGTCTACCCACCAGGCCTACAGGGTGGATGAAAGAGCCGCAGAGCACGCGCGCTGGGAAGAGGCCTCCAAGGAAACCATCAAGAGGACCACCAAGCCGTGCCCTCACTGTGGGGTGCCCGTGGAAAAAAACGGTGAGTCTGCGCTGGCCGGGGGAGGATGTCCTGTGCTCTTGCTGCATGGCTGCGCCCTCGGGGCTCTGGGAGGCGCACACCCGTCATACCTGCCCCGTCCATCCTGGGGGTGGCGCCTTCCATTTAGAGCCCTGGCAGCCAGCGCCCTGGAGCCCCTTCTAGACGCGCCCCGCTTCTGCCAGTGGCCGGCCCCCGGTGCCAGCCCAGGCGAACACCAAGCCCAGGCGCGGCTTCCCCACGTCCGCTCTGAGCGGCGGCTGCGCCCTGGTGGGTAGAGGGCACACCCCGGGGCACTCGGTCCCCCTGCCCCAGCTGTCGTTCAGCAAGCACATGCCACCCAGCTCAGCGGCAGGAGCAGGCGCAGCGCCGGCCAGGTTCCCACCGCTGAGCAGCGGAGTCCTGCAGAACTCAGCCCAGCCTGGACCATTCCCCGTGGGCAGGACGCGTGGGACAGGGAGGACCTGCGGGTCCGGCCCACCTCCCCTAGGCTGCCCGCAGGCACCGGGAGCACAAGGGAAAGAAGGGGCAAGGCCTTCACAGGAGGGGAGGTGGTGGCTATTGAGGGACAGGGCCAGCACTCAGAGGCGCAGGGATTTTCAAAACGAATTCAATACTGAGGCCATTTTGCTAGGATTAAGGAACTTTTGTGTACATTTTGTTGTTGTTTTGTTTTTAATATAATCCTCAAAGTTGGTAAATTCCAGACTTCTCTGGAAACCACTTGGCAATACACATATGTAAAGAAATTAGAGTGTCTCTGTTTTTTGACCCAATAACCCTAGTTCTGGAAATCCATACTAAAAATACATATGCACAGGTACACACACATACCACATACATGCATGCAGGTACCACATATCCATGTGTATAAGCACGTGGGATATGTGTATGTGTATGTATATATGAGCGTGTATCTGTGTTATGTGTATATGTGCAAGATATTGTACATGTGTGTTTGTGGTGTATGCAAATGTGTATGCATGTGTATGTGTTTGCAGTGTCTGTATATGGTATATTTTATGTGGGATGTGTGTCTGTGTGCTGTGCATGTGTATGATGTGTGTGGTATGCATGTATATGCTTATGGTCTGCAGTGCAGGTATGTGCATGTGTATGTGTTGTGTGTACCTGTGTTGTGTGGGGTGTATGTGTGCACATGTATATGCATATATGTCCATGTATGTGGTGTATCTACAAATGTGTATATGGTGTGGGTGGGTGTATGTATGAATGTGTATTTGTGATATGTATATGTACATGGGGTATGTGGTGGTATGTGTCCATGTATGTGTGTGTATTTGTGTATATGGTATATGATGTGTGTATGATGTGTATGTGGTGTGTTTATGTCTGTATATGCATTGTGTATATGCTTGTGGTATGTGTATGCATGTGGTATATATGTACATGTATCTTATATGTGTATGCATGTCATGTGTATAGGTGCATGTGTGTGCATACATGTGTATGCAAACACATGAATATGTGTATGAGTATGCATGTATGTACACTGTTGTGCATATATATATATATGATGTGTCTTTGTGATGTGTTTGCATGTCTACTGTGTGTACATAGATCAGTAGTGTATATATTATGTGTTTGCAAGCATGTATATATGTATGTGGTGTGTTCATGGTATGTATAAATGTGATGTGTGTACATGTGGGAATGTATATTTGTATGAGTTTTATGTGTATGGTGCATATACATTACATAAGCACAATATATATGTGCTTTTGGTGTATCAATACATTATGTAAGCTTGGGATATATGTGCTGTGTGTATGTATGTGTGAACATGGGGGCACATTCACATACACCACATGTAGAAACACACCTTACAGATACATGCATTTATGTACATGCACATACCACATACACATACACATACCACATGTACATACACCATGCACTACATACATACACACATGCACAGACCCCACATATACACCACATGCACACACACATTTATACACATACACCACAGACATACAAATGTACACACAACACATATATGCCACACATGCACATACACCACATACATACTCAAATATACATACACACATGCACCTACATACATACCACATACATACACAGTATATGTACCACAAAACATACACACCACAAACACATACACTCTTACACAACACACACCCATATGTATAAACACCACATACATGCATATGTACGCTACATGCATCCATGCATGCATACACCACTCATATACACATAGACACACATATCCATATTACGTATGCACATACACATCAGCACACACACCACATGCATACCCATATGCACATATATACCAAAAGCACAGTCATACACAGCCACATACACACATGCATATGTACACACATCACATATATTAACACACTCCCGTCACATTACACACATACACACATGCCACATACATGTACACATCCCCAAACATACACAGCACACCATGCACAGAACATGTATATAGAAATACAAATGCCACAAATCTACATAGACCACACACACTGTACATACATATACACCATATATAACACATAGGCATGTTCATACACATGTATACACTCATGTCACATACATAGACACATATGTCCACATGCCACATGCATGTCACATGCACACATACACATATACATGCTTATACACACCACATGCATACGCACATGCTCATATATCATATCCAAACACATATTGCATACATACACTGAACACATATGCATACATCCATACACCACACATGCACAAACATACACATATACATGATTATACATACGTACACATGCCCATACGCACACCACATTCATACACACATGCACATATATACCACATATAGACATGCATACCACATGCATGCATACTCCACAAAACACACACATACATGCATATACATGCACATGTATCCATACATATGCCCAAACACACACCACTTACATACACATATGTACACATACACCACATTAAGCACACCAGATACATAGCAAAAATACACATCCTCATGCATGTATGCATGCACATGCCATACATGCATATTTATGCACATGCACTCATGCACAGCACACACATTACACATAACATGCACACACTACACCTGCAAACACACAGGCATGCCACATACACATATGCCAGACACATGCAAAACATATACCACCAACATAGACATGCACAAGACATGCATCAAAACACATGCCACACATATGCACATACATGCACAGTGCATACACACATGCTGCAGATACATGCACATGCACACCACATACATGCACATACGCATCTGCACACACCACCTGAAAATACACCATACACCAAAAAAACATAAACAGAGGCACCCATATAATACGTACATAGACACATTTACATACCACATATCCATACACACATGTGTGCCCTTACATGTTAGGCAAAAACTGCTAATTGCAGTATTATTTATGTTAGGAAAAACCCAGAGTCCTCTAGCTGTGGCCTCAGAATGAGAAAGCTTGGTTTGCCATATGAAGCCCTGGGAAGCATCACGCAGCCCCTCCCTGCTGTACCACAGGGGCTGAGAACACAGACTCTGGGTTCCCAGGGGCCTTTGGGGGTCTGGGTCTGCTGTGTGCTGTGTGGCCTTCTGGGCCTTATTGTCCTCGTCTGTGCCATGGGTTTATACCAGAACTTGCCTGAGGGAGGTGTGCTTTGGGCTTCTTAGCGAGAGCCCAGTTGCTCTAGTGTTAATCACTGCAGTGTAGCCAAGGGTGAAGCTTCGTTACCGAGGTCTCCTCTAGGTCTGCCCCACATTCAGCAGAATCTTAGGAAGAGCTCTCCTTCAGTGACACTGACAGGAGAGCCGTTTCCATGTAAATGTAGACAGAGTGACATTTACACTCTGGGCACATGCTCCTGGGATACCCTGCGGGCCCCAGAAATGTCCTTGCTTACTCTGTCTCACACACACAGGACTCTGGCTCCATTCTCTGACCAGCGAATGCCTGTTGCCGGGTACATTTGCTTTTAGGTGGCTCCGGAGCTTCAGTTCACTCATTAGAACCCAGAGGAGGAGCCGCTGGCCGGAGCAGGGACGGCACCTGCAGGGGCTGGGGCCAGTCAGTGGACAGGACTCACTGGGAGGAGGCTGTGGTCCCTTCATACCAATATCTCAAATCTGTGTGCACCTGTCAGCACCTCCCAGCTGGTATTTATGATCATGTGTCACCTGCCAACAGGGGCTGTTCTGAGAAGTGTCCTCAGACCACTTTGGCGTTGTGTGAACATCCTGAGCGCACCTTCTCAAACCTAGACAGTGTAGGTCAGCCACAGGAGGCCTTGGAGCCACAGACTGCTTTACAGTAAGCAGGAAAGCACTACTAATGCCATCCCCTCCTCCACTTCCTGTCCTGCTCTGTCTGCCGTTGTGATTCTAGTTTTGTGATTTGTTACGTTAGGATTCTGGTGCATTAAAATTTTGATGTAATAGGAAAACATTCTTATTGTCATTTAGAATTACTTTAAAAAACACTGAGTTTTAATATATTGCTCAATTATTCTATTTGATATTTCTGAGAAACTAAGTGGTTTTAAAGCACCACACTATTTTATTGGATTATTTACATCATAAGGTACAATCATTAAATATGTTGTTGAAATGACACTCTCCAAAATGGGAAGTATTAAGATAAAAATGTCATCAATAAGTTATCTGATTATTTTTTCTACGGTAAATTTTATTTGTTTTTATATGCAATTTTTATGATCTTTGAAACAAACTAAAAGAAGCAGAAAGTAGAGGACTTTAAATGTATCCAAGTTATCCTAAGGTAAATGCCTGTGTCTACATATTCATACATATTTTCAATTAGTGGAAGTTCTCAAACTAGTTTTCTAGGAAAAATGAGACAGTACTGAAGCAATTACGTGGCCATTAGTGGGAGAGCAGAGACACTTACAAGATAATTGGTAAATTGAAGAATGGAGTGCTCAATGCCTCGCAGAAACACTGCATGGCTCCCGTGTCCAGGAAATCAGTGCGCAGCCGTGGTCTCTGTGCAAGGCTGCACGCACACGGCTCGCTCCACCTGAGGCAGAGCTGGTTTCTGCTCCCCAGAAGCCAACAGAGACAGCGTTTAACACCTGGGGGAGCCAGGCATCCCAGAGTAGGACCCAGAAAAGAGGCAGAAGAGGCAGGCCCCGCTCCAAAACCAACCGGAACCTCACGGACCTCGGTTACTCCCAAGCAGCAACAGTGAAAAGCACTTCGCCTTGAGAAAAGTCTACAACCAAGTTATCCTCTGAGTTTTTGAGCAGTAAATGAGTCATCAGACCCCTCGCTAGCTCCTTTGTGTCCTTCTCGTCCTAAATTAAATTTAGAATAGCATTAAGGGACGTATTCCCTGTTAGAAGTAGTATACTGTCCCAATTCCTGTTTTATGAATTTTGACAAGCTAAGTATCTCCAAAGAAATGACAAAAGTAATCATAACATATTATTCTATGTTAAATTATTAAGTGCATTTAATGTATTTAAAACATTGAATTCAATATATATTTAAATTTATTTAAATGAGGAATTGACTGTGAAACACAAAGCACTTGTCTCTAAATCCCATTTCAGGAAAAACAGGTAAGCTCAGATTTACAAATAAAATCTGCCGTGGGTGGAGGGGTGCTATTTGCTTTGCCTCCTCAAGAGCGTCCCAACGTCAGAGCGCCCTCCCTGCTCTCCCATTCCCTCCCCCTGCTCAGACTCCCTACATTCCTACTCCTACTCCCTGTGGCCTGGGGCGTGTTCTCCAGGCTGCTGCAGACCCACCGTGGCTTGTCCTTTGTCGCTCGCAGGAGGATGCATGCACATGAAGTGTCCGCAGCCCCAGTGCCGGCTGGAGTGGTGTTGGAACTGCGGCTGCGAGTGGAACCGCACCTGCATGGGCGACCACTGGTTCGACGTGTAGCCGGCGCCGCGGGCGCTGGGCCCTGGCCACGCCCCCCTCTCGGAAGCACCCAGCGCCCTGCCTTCATTTTCTACTTCACGTTTCTCTAAACACATCTCACACACATACACACACTCACACACGTGAACACAGGCTTCAAGGTCTCCCCACAATCACAAAAGCAAAATGACAGAGAAAGCTGCTGGATCTCTTTTACTACATCCATGAAAAACAGCAGAGCCAATCCCAACACCAGCAAGAGGTCTTTCCAGGCCTTAGAATTATGCCCAGAGTAAAGTGCAGCCCGTCTATGCTGAATAATCCTTATTCTTGCATGGATTCAAGTCAGGCTGGCTCGGCACAGGGAGCAGGTCTCCAGATCAGTTTCCTGCGTTCTACTTTCAACAAACACAGGGGAGGAGCCGCTGGCAAGGTGGGGACAGCTCCTGGGGACTGTTGCCTGAGGGGGCCTCTGCAAGGTGGACTGCAGGGACTCTCAGAACTGAGTTCCTGGCTTTCAGAGCAACATTCAACATTTAACTTTTCAGAGAGCATCCAGTCCTCAAAAAACCCCAGGCAGTAGTAAAAAATATGTGTTTATCCCTAAGAATTCTATCTTTATAAATTGTGCTGATGAAATAGCAACTATGCACAAATCAGCTTGTCAACTAAGTGAGAAATTATGAAAGCCAATTTGAATGTTGAATGTTTAAATTACAGGGAAGAAAGCAACACTTAATGTGCTTTCATTCCATTTAATTATTTGCTACTTTAGAAAGAAATCGCTTATCTGAAAATATTACAAAATCTATCGTTTGATTTTTAAGTATTCATTTTGCAGCTTGGAAATTAGCTTGTGCATTAGGCACTACTGTAAATTTAATGGATAAAGGGCTATAAAGGAGACATTTTCAAAAACCATTTCATAGTGGTATTGAATGCTAACAAAAGTGCAGGTTATTAAGTAGAATCTTTAAAGAAAGAGCCTTTCCAAGGCGTCCAGATGAAAGCATTTCTGACCCTCTTCATTAGAAGGGTGCAGGCCCCATGCGTCCCCACTCTCCTTCCACTGCTAGCCCCAGGGAGCCATGCATGGGCGGCCAGCTCCTGCAAGGAGAGTTCTTTGCGTAGGACAAAATAAACTCACTTATTCCTCAGGTTACCTGCATCAAATTTGAGTGTTGGTCAGATTTTCAACTTTTCTCTTTTGGAGGCAAATGCAACACATAAAAAAAAAAATTCTCTAGATACTGTGAGACGCATTTTCTACTGCAAAAATGGAGGTGAGAAAACACAAGAGCTGCCTGTTGACAGCTCCTCAGGAAGACCGTGAATGTACCTGAGGGCAAAGGAGTTCTGGCACGGGGGGCCCTTCTGGGTTTGGGGAGCTGGAAATTCTAAACTGGTCACCAGTCCTCTCCTCCTAGGTGGGCTCCCTGTGTCCTTGCTGGTGGGAGGAGAAGGGGTTTCCGAGGTCACGTCCCAAGGACCTTCTTTCATGCTCCAGGGAGCATTCTGCCCTCCACCCCTCGCGGGTACTGTGCCGGGACAAGACAGGGCAATGACGTCCATGTGCACAGCTGCTCCAGCATGTTCAAGGCCACAGGGAGGTCCGTGGCCGTGCTGAGCCCCGACCACAATCAGGACACATGTCACTGACAATCCCAGCCAATTGCAGCTCCTTGCGCCAACTCAGGGTGACACCCCAGATGGCATCGCCTGTCCTGTGGCACATGGGGCACTTTGTATCAGTCTTAGCTTTTTCTTTGTGATGCTCTCATTATTGCTTCTTCCAAATCCACGTAGTGTGTTGGGTTTGCCACCGTGAATTGCAGGTACCGTAGCAGCCCCTGGAGCTGTTCAGCTGTTGAGCATGGTCTCCTTTGTGGTGATTTTTTTTTTCCAGAATAGAATAGTGATTCTTAAAATAACTTAAAGGAAAAATAGGCACTGAGTATGAACATGAATCACAATATTATTTGAACACGAACACTGTAATAAAATATAGCACAAGAATGGAAGTAAGATCTTTGCGGAAAAATCTTTATTTTTTTCTGAAATGTGTTAAGAAATATCTGACAGGTATGTCTGCGAATGTGCTTAATTGTCAATAAAAGTATCCTAAGAGCTCTTGGGTCTGTCTTTGAGGGTATGTTTTGCACAGGAGGCGAGGGAGGAAGCACAGATTGTGTTTTTTTTTTTTTGGGGGGGGGTACCAGGGATTGAACCCAGGGGCACTTAAGCATTGAGCCAAATCCCCAGACTTTTTATTTATTTATTCATTCTAATTAGGCATGTATGACAGCAGAATGCATTTTGAGTCATTATACACAATTGTAGCACTTTTCATTTCTTTGGTTATACGGGAGGTAGCGTCACACTAGATGTGCAGTCACACATGCACCTAGGGCAATGATGTCCCTCTTTTTCCCCCATTTTTTATATTTTATTTAGAGGCAGGGTCTTGCTGAGTTGCTTAGGGTCTCGCTACATCGCTGAGGTTAGCTTTGAATTTGTGATCCTCCTGCCTTAGCCTCCCAAGCTGCTGGGATTACAGGTGTGCGCCACCGCGCCTGGCATTAGGCAGCATTTTTGAGGGTTACTATTGAGCATAAAATCTTCACTCAGTACTTTTCCCTGTTAAGTTTCTTTGCATTATTTTTTTATAATAAAATAATTGTTACTTATTAATGCACATTTCAGAAGCTAAAAAAGGTGAAAAGGAGAATAAAAACCATCTAGAAATAATTATTTTGCTTCTTATTTGCACTTAGGAATGCATGGTATCAATGGGCTCCTAAAATGAGCATTTGGGGGGCTTCATCATGGCCTGCATTGTATATGCTAATTAATGAGTTTCTTTTAAATTTTCAAACCCAATATAACCATTCACAAGTAATGCAGTTATTAAACAGTATAGATGTGGAAACGATTGTGTGACATGCACAAACGTTTACACTAGGGCTGAGGGTTTGGCCCAGTGGAGAGTATTGGCCTAGCATATGCAAGGCCCTCGGTTGGATCCCCAGCGTTGGGAAAAAGGAAGAAAACAACAGAAATGTTTGCAATAGAATGTTGAATGGAAAGCAGTACCAAAACTGCATGTTCACTATAATTGCAATTATGCAAAAATAAATAAATTCCAAGAAATAAACAACTGGAGACTGCTATGGTCAAATTGTGTTGCCCCAAAGTCTTAGGGTGAAATTCTGCCCAAGGTGACGTGTTAGGAAGGGGCCCTTGGGGGATGAAGTCATGCGGATGGAGCCCTCACGAATGGAAATAGTGGCTGAGAGATCCCTCACCCTTCACCATGTGGGACCAGATGAGAAGACGCCACCGGTGAAACAGGAAATGGACCCTTACCAGACTGGGAGCCTGCCAGCACCTTGATGTTGGACTTCCAGCTTCCAGAACTGATAAATAACCTTGTGTTGTGTGAAAGAAGCACAGTTTATGGTATTTTGTTATATCCACTAAGACGGAGGATGCGTTACAATAGAGTCTGCTCTGGTTGATGGAACTCTATGTCAACTTGACTCATCTCTGCTCTTCAGGGTTTGGGGCAGTATGAAAATATCACTTTAAAATGAAAAAAGATTTTTAAATGTCCTGTGACAGTTCAAGGTGCCCTACCACATGCAGTTACGCAGCAAAGATCTTCCCTCACTCGGTCTGTTTGCTGATTATGTGAACTTCACTAGATTCATGGTGAAACGTGGTGAGATATTACACTGCCCGGTCAGAGGAATGTTACCTGGTGACTCTGGCAAGGGTGGAGTATGAGGGATGAGTTGAAGTGACTTTCTACGCAGATGCCCTGTTCCTCCAGCCCTGGCATGATCATGGCGTTTCTGATTCGGCCTGTAGAGAGGCTGAGATAGGAATATGGGGATACAGAGAAAAAGAACGCTGGGTCTCGGGAGAGAAGCAGCTGGGAGCGTGACTGGGAGCGTGAACATGTGCTGCTTACCTTCCTCAGCAAACCTCTGCCTCATGCTCGGGTGTGTGCTGCGATTCTTCTCCATCACACACATCAGGGACCCCATCGTCCCCAGTAGAGTCCCCTCTCCAAGACCTCCTGGAACACTCCTCCAGTGACAAGGCCACCACCTTCCTGCTTTGCCCAGGACTGAGAGGGTTCCCCGCACGAGGGATGGGGGACTTTCAGTTTTAAGACCACAACAGCCAGAATCAGTGGCTGTTCCTGTTGCCTGTGATTCCAGTTACCCAGGAGGCTGAGGCAGGAGGATGGAGGCCAGCCTTGGCAACTTACCAAGACCCCCCTCAAAATAAAGAATAACAAGGGCTGGAGATGCAGCAGAGTGCATCTGGGTTCAGTCCCCAGCACAGGGGGGCCGGGGGAGAGAGAAAGAGAAGGGGAGGAAGGGAAGGAAGGGGAAGAGAAAGGAAAGGAGGGAGGGAGGGAGGGAGGGAGGGAGGGGAAGGGAAGAGAGAGAAGGAAGGAAGGGAAGGGAGGGAAGGGAGGAGGAAGGAAGGACGGACGGACGAGCTGGCCACCCTGTCTGTGAGTAGCCAGCCCCCAAGCAGCAGCGGGCCTTACTGGCCTCTCAGCCTCCTTGGGCTAACCTTGGCCTCTTAGGCTTGAGAACATCCTCCACGCGCATCCCCTGGGCCTCCTGCAAGCTGACCTAATCCAGAGGCTGACGGCTCTAATGTCTTCGATTCCCAAAAGAGCTGGTCCCGCTCAGAACAGGATCAGTGGGAAGCCTGGCAAGCTCCAGATGCTCCCGAGGGACCGTCACTTGGTACTTATGAACTGCCTCTCTCACCAGCACCTGGCTTTGTGTCGAGGACCATTGCTCATGCAGGCTGGACGCCCTGACCGCCCAGGTGTGCTGAGGACTTGTCCGGCCCACTCTCCTGCAGTGAGCTGTTGGCTCCCCCACACCTCCGCCCGCTCCCACTCCCTCTCCTCCCTTGTCTCCCACAGAAGCCTTCCCACCAACCCATGCAAGGTCCTCTGTCCCCATCCCTGGCGTGCACTGCTATCTACACGAATCTACGCTGGGCTGTTTGCAGGGCTCTGTGTCTCCCTCACTGGCACGTTAGGTCCACGAGGGCGGTTGGTGGCTGTCTCTCTGTTGGTTTCATGGATGACTAGAGGACAGCTGTCAATCATCAGCTGAGGCGCTCACTGTCCCCACCTCAAATCTAGAAAAGTATGGAGAGTTGCTGCATCAGGAGGACAGGCATGGACACCAAGTGCTATGGCTCTGGCTGTCCCTAGAACAACTGCCGCTCTTCCTCTCAGCAGGGATTTTCGAAGTCGCCTGTTTTCATTTTCTTGCCATCAATCCCTGCTTAAAGTTCTAGGTGACGTTCTTCAGTCTCCATGTCTTCTCGTTCTTTTTGTCTTGGTGCTCAAACAACGTTAGTTACAGCAGGTCCCTTAGTTGATTCAGTGCTCGTGGCCACTCTAGGAAGAATGGGAGGCACAGGCCCCCCAACAGGTGACTCCCCCTAACTGGAGTTTCTTCTGAAGTTTCTCCACAAATAAGCCCTCGCCCGTGTGATTTAAACTACTAAAAAGCATCAGTACAACCCGTTCTTTTCAGTTTCAGGTGTTTGGAACAAGAACTCCGAACACCAGGGAAAGAGCCGGGGTTGGGATTCAGAGACAGGCAGTGATCACCACGTCGTGGAGAGTGAGTGACCGTGTCATCTTGTGTGGGGTGGTGCTGGAGATCACTCGGCCCCCTCAGGGAGAGGAAGTAACTGTAGACACGGTTCATTTTTCCTGGGATCCTCCACACACCGAGAAGCACCTCACACGTTGCCTGACGGTTGCTGTCCCCGAGTGGTTCATCATGAACGGCCCCTCCCGCCACGCCAGCCGGCCTGGTTCAAGCCACCAGGAATCTCCATTTGCTCAGCAGGTTCGTTGAGGTGCCTGTGAAAGAATAAGGCAGAAGGTGACCGAAATGGGTTTTGTGATTCCCAAACCTATTTTCTAGGAACAGCAAAATGTTATTTGACTGCTTGCCCAGCTTATTTCATCCTGGCCCCATGGTGATCCTCATGGCTAGAAAAGCATTATGGACATGACAATCACAGAGCTGGCCATGACCACGCTGGGGATCCGTGCTGGTCTGGAAATGCTCTGGAGAGAGCGTTGTCAGGTCAAGAACCCTAGAGCTCTGGTGGACTAACAAGTCCAGCAGCCATGGCCCGTACCAAGGACCAGTCACACTCGTGTAGAGGGCCAGGAGTAGATAACCCAGCCTTTGCTGGCCCTAGGACTGTGTCCAAACCCCTCACCTCTAGCTTTGCAGAGTGGAAACAACCAGGGGCAGCGCACAAGCGAACGCACATGGAACCCACTGGTCTATGTCCCTCTACAATGTTACCAAATATGGGCAGCGGTCAGAATGGCCCAATGATTGTTGAAGTCTGTCCACCCATATTACGTGAACTGAAAATGGGCTGGGGTGTGGCCCAGTGCTACAGCACTTGCCTGACAGGCTGAAGGACCTGGGTTCCTTTCCCAGCACTGCAGAATGCCATTATTTTGAAATAACTGAAAAGCTTAAGAGAGTCAGATATGAAGTCATGTGAAATGGGAAGCACTAATATTTTTCAGACTTACATTATGTATTCAACAAATAATTACAGGGTTCTGAATAGGTTGGCTGCCAGGGCTGTAAAAATAAAGACAAGTTTTCTCTGCTCGGATTCTCACAAAGCTGCTGGGCAGCTGGTGTGGGAGAAGTGACACCAGGCAGATGGATGCAGTGGCACACGCCTGCAATCCCAGTGACTCAGGAGGCTGAGGCAGGAGGGTCAGAAGTTCAAGGCCAGCCTGGGCAACTTAGGGAGAACCTGTCTCAAAATAAAAACTAAAAAGAGCTGGGGATGCAGTTCAGTGGTAGAGTGTCCTGTGCCCAATCCCCAGTGTCACAAGGGGAAAAAGAAAAGAGTGAGTTCATGCCAAGGGGGAGAATACCGTGTCCCCTGGCATAGCCACAGCCTTCCTGTGGGGGCCTGGGAACGGGAGATGTTGGGCCACATGCATCAGAGGAAGTGGTTACCGGATAGCTCTGAATCTGTGCAGCAAAGTTTCCACTCTCTTATGGGTTACGGGAAGCCACTGAGGGAATTTAAGA